CTTATACTGATATAGTGATAGTGTTGGGCTGATATAGTGCTTGTCAGAGCTGGGGATACTCTAGGTAATAGGGCTGTTTATACCCCCTTATACTGATATAGTGATAGTGTTGGGCTGATATAGTGCTAGTCGGAGCTGGGGATACTCTAGGTAATAGGGCTGTTTATACCTCCTTATACTGATATAGTGATAGTGTTGGGCTGATATAGTGCTAGTGTTTGACTGATATAGTGATAGTGGGAGTTTAAATTAATAAAGATATTCCAGGTTACACTATGTTGAATGCTATAGCATGTTTGTGATAAATAAAATCTCATATATATACCTGTCACTGAGCTTTAATTAAATTGTTTGTCAAGTCTAAGTGTGTTGTATCAAGACAAAGAATTGTGTTATTTGTTTATTAATATTGCGTTAATTACGACGTCACACATTTGTATTGATTAAGGAAATTTATGCCGTTTTTGCTCTCCGCGAATTTATGATGACAGCAAATATTGGCACAGAACAAAGCACATACAGTTAAGGGCAAAAAACCCAGTGGTCTAATATTGATTTTACAAGTGAAGGGTAAATATTTAACGAAACAAAAATTTCACATTATACAGTAACACAGTGTCATAGGATTGCAGACTTGATGGACATTTTTTCTGATTCCCACTTCTGTGTGATAGGTATGGCATTGATGTAAATGACCTTGACCTTTTTGACATTCCAGCTGGCTACATACAGCGCTGTATCATCATACAGCGTGATGAGAAGGGATATGGCTTTACAGTAAGGGGAGACAACCCTGTATATGTGGAGGTCGTCAAGCTCGGTAAGTTGTATAGGGGAGGTAATCCACTTTTTCACCTGACTTCATTTTCATAAGAAATTTAGGATTGGATTTATCAGTACATTGTATGGAATGGTCCCAATTTCAAAAAGCTAAAAACAATGTTTAGACTTCCAAATTGTTTTCAATATTTGTTTTTGGAATAACTTGTTTGGCAAAGTTTTATACAAAAAAAATAAATGTTTTTCAATATTAACTAAATTAAGTTTTATGAAAAAGTTCTTTTTGAATAAGAATATTGTTTAAAAAGTTTTGTTCAAACAAAAAATATTTAAATTTAAACCTTTAAAAAGTATTGTCATAGATAATAACATCTTATATTGATATAGAGAAATTAAATGTAGATGATTGGGTATGTGTTACAGCTTGTATATTACTGATCTTACATATATTAATGTTTTACTTGAAATTCAAATCTCCACTGGTTCTGTGTTGTAGATGGGGCTGCGGCCAAAGCAGGAGTTCAGCAAGGGGACCGTATTATCAAGGTATGACTCGTAGGCTCTTCATCACCAACCAATTCTCTCACAAAATAAACTTTTGAGACGACATCATCCCCGACAAACCTTTTTTATTTATTTTTTATTTTTAGTCTGTAAAACTTCAAAATGTCTTATATATGAACTCATTCTCCCCTGAACTCATTTGAACTCTTCCAATTCAAAGATTGGAATAGTTCATTATGAAATTTCAGGGATGAATGATTTAACTGATTTTTTTTTTTTATATCTTATGAAGGTCATCAATTATGCAAACTTATATCAGTGTATTGTGACGACATTGTATGTTACTGGGGATATTTATAATAGAAAATCGAACCCCCAAATCCCTGTATATAAGGACTCTTCATCAGGTGGACGCCTTTTTATGCCCCCGCCATAAAATGTGGGGGGGGG